CACAAAATGGACATATAGTGTCCGGATGAGGAGGGTGCCTGCAGTCAGGAACGGAGGGACAATCCTGTACACACATGGATGCAGAAACCATCTCRTGGTAGTGATTGTGACAAAGATGATGGCGAGTACACCCAAGTGCAATAGTGTCTGTGGCTGTACAAAGGAGAAGGTCACATAGTGTGTGTACATTGTACTGTTGCACTGCGGTGGCAGAGGAATGATCTTCGACATAAAGGAGATTGCGGACAGTTTGATGTGGCCAGAGAACAGCATCATAGAGTAAGAAATCAGTAATATATATATATATATATATATATCGATTTCTTACTCTATGATGCTGTATATATATATATATATATATATATCGTCAAATAGAACTGCCCGGTAAACCGTAGGCAGAGAGGGAGAAGATATATATATTCAGCCTCCTGATGAGTCGGTGAAACTCCGACGAAACAGTTTGTCACAGCCCCTCGTTTGTTGTCCTCTTCTCTCTCTCTGCCTACGGTTTTACCGGGCAGTTCTGTTTGTGACGATATATATATATCGTCACATATATATATCGTCAAATAGCGGCCCGGTAGCTGTGACAAACTGTTTCATCGGAGTTTTTTTTGTTTTAATCATACTTGCAGTGCATCGAGGTGCGCGGCATCCCGCACGTGCGCCGCACCGCGCACCGCGCATGAAGCGCGCGCACGGGGTGCGGCGCACCCCGAAAATAGGGGGTCGGCCAAAAAAAAAAAAAGTTGGGGAGGGGTGTTGTAGGCTCAAGTGGGATGTCGCATCAAGAAACAAAAAAAAAAACAACAACAATTTGAGGCCGCGCGGGGCCCCGGAAAAAAAAAAGGGCAGGGAGCTGAATTTTTTTTTTTAAGGAAGAACGTCAGAATTTCTTTGCATGAGTGAAGCCCGGTGCGTCCAACCTGTCAGAACCTCAACGGTAATGTTCACCAACGGGCTCGCTGCACAACCCTCGACATGCACAACAAGACATAGGGCCTCGCTGCACTACTCTCAACATGCACAAAAGACAAAAATATTGGCGGTGTATCTTTCCATATTCTAACGCAAGATTCACTCTCGTTTTGCACATTTCCAGAGTAGTGCAGCGAGGCCCATATATGGCAATGTATCTTTCCATGTTCAAGTGGAGGATTCAGTCTCATTTGTTCAGAGATTCTC